CACCCAGCGCTGGGAGACTTGAGGCACAATGACTCAGGGGTGGATTTGGGATGGCCTAGAGTGAGTTGCTGCAGGAAGAAGAAGTCAGAGAGGCCCCATCCTGTAAAAACAAAATCCAAACCCAATGTTTTTATTCACAATGATACCTCCTCTTTCCCTCATGAACAGTTGGGAATTTATTATTTTGGCGCCTTCAGAGGTCTCCAAAGGCCTCCTGGGGTTCAATTGTGGCGGCGGGGACCCCTAGGAGGACTCCGATCACGGCGGGGAAGCCCTGGGAAACCTCCCCAGGGTCCCCTGCCACCATCGGAGACAACAAACTATGGCATGTCTTTAAAGAAATGGAAGTGCCTGACCACCTTATCCGTCTCCTGAGAAACCTATATGTGGGACAGGAAGCAACAGTTAGAACTGGATATGGAACAACTGATTGGTTCAAATTAAGAAATGAGTACAACAAGGTTGTATATTATCTCCCAGCTTATTTAACTTATATGCAGAATACATCATGCGAAAGGCAGGACTGGAGGAATCCCAAACCGGAATTAAGATTGCCGGAAGAAATACCAACAACATCATATGATACCACTCTGATGGCAGAAAGTGAGGAGAAATTTAAAACCTCTTAATGAGGGTGAAAGAAGAGAGTGCCAAAATGGTCTGAAGTTCAACATAAAAAAAAAACCAAGATCATTGCCAATGGTCCCATCACCTCCTGGCAAATAGAAGGGGAAGATATGGAGGCAGTGAGAGATTTTACCTTATTGGGCACCATGATCACTGCAGATGTTGACAGCAGCCATGAAATTAAGAGACGCCTGTTTCTTGGGAGGAAAGCGATGACAGACCTAGAACACATCTTAAAAAGCAGAGAAATCACCTTGCTGACAAAGATCCACATAGTCAAAGCTATGGTTTTTCCAGTAGCAATGTATGGAAGTGAGAGCTGGACCATAAAGAAGGCTGACTGCTGAAGAATTGTTTTGAAGAAGATGCTTTTGAATTGTGGTGCTGGAGGAGGCTCTTGAGAGTTCCCTGGACTGCAAGGAAATCAGATCTATCCGTTTTGAAGGAAATCAACCCTGAGTGCTCATTGGAAGGACAGATCCTGAAGCTAAGGCTCCAATACTTTGGCCATCTCATGAGAAGAGAAGACTCCCTGGAAAAGACCCTGATGTTAGGAAAGTGTGAAGGCAAGAGGCGAAGGGGCAACAGGATGGGATGAATGGACAGTGTCATCAAAGCTACCAACATGAATTTGACCCAACTCCGGGAGGCTGTGGAAGACAGGAGGGCTTGGCGTGCTCTGGTCCATGGGGTCACAAAGAGTTGGACATGACTTAACGACTAAACAACGACAACATTTATAAAGCTTATTAAGTACTATGAAATCCTGGACTTGTTTCCTCCAAAGTAAACAGCTCCACTTGCATCCTGAGGGAGAGGTCTCCATGTGCCAGCTGTGGCACGTGTGCCATAGGTTTGCCATCCCTGCTGTAATGTCATTTATGTCATCTTCTGCCAGCAACACCATCTGCATTATAGGGCAAACTTCACAGTCTCTATGCAAAACAATAAATGGATACAAATCTGACATAAAGAAACACAAAGAAGCCAGTTTCAGAATACTTCAGTGTTCCAGAAAATTCTTTTATGGATCTCTACTATTTTAAAGAAAGTGGCCTTCCTTGTGGCTGTTGTGAGTACTTGAAAAGGTAGCAAGTAATGTGTCCATCAAATTAATATTTGGAAGAAACAAATATTGGTGTGCAGCTTCATGAAAGACAAAATCTTTTTATGGCAAACCTGACACATCTGATAAGAAACTGAGAGTTTCATAAATGATCACCATAGTTCAGGTCGTAGAATTTTTTTTCAGATGGACATTTAGATCAAAATATACCTTGGCTTATTCAGCAGCTAAATTATGGAGGAATAGTAACAATTTCCTTGTTGTTCCTTCTGCCTCAATCCAGAATCTAGCCCTGGGAGAAGGATTGGCATACACTTGATAATCTATAATGTTCACAGTTTGATTATAGACAGAGCCATCAAATTACTCTTTGTGACATTTAAGAATTTAAAAATGTGCTGTCCTCTGAAGATGCCGGCCACAGAGACTGGTGAAACGTTCGGAAGAAGAACCTTCAGAACACGGCGAAAGAGCCCGAAAAACCCACAACCATTAGATCCCGGTAGTGAAAGCCTTCACGAATACATTGTATCTATGTCCTCTTTGACACAGTGCTTGAAGGGGAGCATTATTTTGCATATACTGTACTGTATACTAGTATGTGTATTGAAGCCACCTGGGCCTTGGGATATGCTTTCAGTAAGCATAAGAGACATTTCTACTTTGTTTTATTTATTTATTTATTTATTTATTTATTTATTTAATTTATATGCCGCCCACACTACCTAAAGGTTTTAGTACCAATATCTGATTTCAATTTTGAGTGTATTTTCACTGTTGTGACATTTGCTGCATATGAAATCAAAACAGAGTTTCATGGATAGTAGTAGAAGCCCATATTCAATGAGAGCAGCGATTCTCACCTTTTCACATCTTTTGTCCTAGCAGTAACTTGGATCCCTTCATTACAGAAACAGACCAATTATAGACATACTGTTACTATATTCATATTTGTTGTGGTAAACTTTAGGGACAAAACTTTTTTCAGTATTAGTGTGGGGAGCAAATCTTTAGTAATTTTTATTTGTAGCTGAAAATTGTAATGATTTGGTTGAGTGTGTGTTGTACTAATAACTATAAGACAAGAGAAGAGCAGTGTATCATAGTTGTGGGAGGAGATGGCAATTGATGCAGAGTGAATCCTTGGTAATTATTGTTAAAGTCTTGTTTCCCACCCAGACTACATCTCTGTTCCTCCTGGCGGTACATGTACCATTGTTTGGAAGAGGACACATAGCATGGTGATTCTGAAATACCATGCAAAAATTCTAGTAGAGGTCACAAGACTATAAGAGCTTTCTTTCATCTTCGTATTTAAATTTGTTTTTATTCTGCTATTAAGGCAAGCTACATTTCATTAGCTTTCAGTGCAAAGAAGAATGGTTTATTTCCAATAATTAATGTTGTTAAATTATTATTTGAAATAATTATTACTAGGGTTTTGAATTAATTTTTTTATTTTAAATTACAAGTTGAACCTTGTGTTAAAAGGGGATTTGATTATGGTAGATGGTAGATGGAGAAATATAATAATTATTTCTCAGAAATAAAAAGGAGACATGATGTCAAAATGTTGGGGGTTGCTGTCTTATTGAGAGAGATTAAGATGGAAGAGTAGACAAACAGCTACCAACAGAGACCAAGTATGTGGCATCAATAGTTGTAGCAATCACAGATGATATTCCATAATCACTAGCAGCAACAATCCTGTTCCACTAGTCTCACTATATTATGGTTAAAAGGGTTCATTCAAAATTACCATGCACTCTCTAGAAAATTACAGTATCACCTGTTTTATTATGGTGTTTCTAATAAAGACGTGTTGTGTTAGTCGAAAGGGCAATAGTTTGCCACGACTATTGGTTATTTTCAAAGACTGATCATTATCAATTTGTAGTGTATATATCTCTCATCACTCTTTAGGCATAGTTATGATATAATAGAAGTATAGATTTAATCACAACAGTCATACAAGTAGATTATTCCTTTTGAGTACAATTGGAGTGAAAAATACTGTAATATGCTTACTCTTAAGAGTTTTATTTTGTACACCAGAACAATGTGTTTTTATGAAGCTTTCCAGCTCAAATAATACTTGTAGCTTTGCTTGAGCTGAAGAAATATAATAATTTGCATACTGTATATTTAAATGATGCAACATCTTGATCTTTATATTGATTTTATTTTTCTGTGCGTATTCTGAATAGAGTATAAAATATACCACGATGTCCCGAAAATAAGACAGGGTTTTATATTAATTTTTGCTCCAAAAACGCATTAGGGCTTATTTTCAGGGGATGTTTTATTTTACAGTCATGTCATCTTCTGGTTGCTGCACAATGGTGGAGGGCAGGGTTTCACTTAACTAGGGCTTATTTTGGGGGTAGGGCTTATATTACGAGCATCCTGAAAAATAGTACTAGGGCTTATTTTCAGGTTAGGTCTTATTTTCGGGGAAACAGGGTACTTAGCAACTATACTCACCATATTTCCAATTTTATTTTTGCTTTGCAAACATTATGTTCACCGAATAATTTTAATTAATATTCCTACACATCAAATTAGAGAATCTAGTCATGCTTTAAAAAGGCTTAGTAATATAACTTGCTTTTACATATATAAATAAATGACCAATATTACCGGAAGCTTTAAGATGTGAGGAGAAAAATGGAAGAAGTCTTTTATCCTGGTTTTTAGAGGGCATCAGCAGCTTGCTTTTATGAAAAAGTAACAGCTAAATGCACTGCAAATAATTTGCAGTAATCCAGTTCAGTGATTCATGTGTCTGCTTTAATGGGTCATAATTCAGAGTAAAGTAACTGAGTGCAGTCAGAGTGCAGACACTGCTTATGCCAGGGACAGTATCTCTTCATAAAACACACCTCAGCAGAAGCAGTTTGCCAGCCTCCTAATACCCTCTGATGTTTTGATGTCCTGCATATTTTTCCGATTAAGTTTTGAGTGCCATGTTTTTAGTTGTATTTCCACATTCATTATTCTCACGTAGGCCCTTCAGCGGGTTTGCCATATATGATTATTTTTTTAATGATGCCTTTCTTTCCACTTCAGCAGTTTAATAATCTAGCACATGGCTGCTTCTCAGTACTCAGCATTCACCTCCCCAGTACAGAAGAGGACGTGTGCTTTGGCTTCAACATTCCATTTACTGCTTTAGAAATGCATATTCCCTATGGAACAACATTTGTTTGACATAACCATTCGTTTTTATTACCTCTTTAAATATGTTTATCCAGAGTTATCAATAATCATAAATAACTTGTATTCTCTTCTTGTCTGTTTTTCACAGACAAAATTGCTTACCCAGTACATATTAAATCTCGGCAAGTATGATCAAAGCTACGACATCAGAGACCGTACAAGATTTATTAGGCAGCTCATTGTTCCAAACGAGAAGAGTGGAGCTTTAAGCAAATATGCCAAAAAAATATTTCTGGCACAAAAGCCTGCTCCAGTGCTTGAATCTCCTTTTAAAGGTATGTTACGTTCTCTTCCAAGACTGCATTGAGGATGTACAGATCTGTGTTTAGGTTACTACAACTCATGTTGAGAAATAATCAACTTGTAAATTCCTATTTGAGGTATATTATATTAGGTTTTTTTAGACTATTGAGAGATTGATCAGAATTGAAGGTCTTTTCCTAGTATGACATTTGTTTATAAACTCGATGAACCACAGTGGTATAAATGCCTTGCTTGTTATACTACAAATTCATGTGAATAATAAGACCCCATATTTTGTAGTAGGCATATTGCGTATAGAAAGACTTTTAGCCACTTACCTTTTTTTCATTTAATGAATGACCTTTAATTGTCGCCTTGATTGAGAACATTGAAGTTTCTTCCAGATTCAGTTTGTTAGCACATCAAGATAACTAGAATTTTTTTTTCTCTAAGCAGTTTCAAAGGACTGCTGAGCAGTGCCTCTATTCCTGTCTTGCTACTTTTTGAAGAATGCTGTTACCCTGATTTGTAATTTTATTGTTAATTATCTGCTTTTTGAATTTTTCCATACTTGGGCATTTTCATCCTGCTTTAAACTCTGAAAGCAGCAATCCTTCTCAAGGAAAAACTATTAAAATTCTGGATGTGTTTGTGCCAAGACATGTATATGGATTATTTAACTGTGCTGTCATTCTTAATATTCACAGTAAAGTAATTTTTAGAGAAGCTACATTTCAGAGCAACACCTCTAAACACACTGACTGATTAGCTTTTTTATTGACCATTATGGGAGAGATTATTGTAATCCATGGACTGGAATCAGTTTTTTGACCTGTGAAGAGTTTCCTAGTTTGTATTTATTTTATGACATTTGAAATAATGTGACACCAATTACCTTTAGTCCTGATTAAGATTGCTTTTGGTTATATGGAGCTCATGTCTGTATTTCTCACCTCGTTCCTTCCCCACTTCCCCAATAGATAGGGAGCACTTCCAGCTTGGTACTTTGTCTCATACGCTGAACATGAAAGCCAGTGGCTATCTGGAGTTGTCTAATTGGCCAGAAATTGCACCTGACCCTTCTGTGAGAAATGTAGAAGTTATTGAGATGGTATGTTGACTTTAAAAAATAGAATGTTATTTTGGGAGCTAGGAATTGTGTATCTTTGAAAGTGTGTTTTTAAAGATGAAGATTTCATATTGGTTAACATAAACATGTCATGAAACAAGGCCTTTCTGCTACAGATATTTACTTCTAAACTCTTCATACGTTTCTGTTGATGTACAATGTATCTTTTAGTTTATATCATCCTTCAGTCACCCTATTTCCATCTATGTTTACAGTTATTTACTCCTATGAAATGTTAATTCAGCCTTTCCAATTTAATCTGAATATCTATGAATATCACATAGCATCCTGAGAGACTCTTCCCTTTTTTTTTACAATTAGCATACAACAAAATACTAATGGTTGTTCCTGGAGACCTTTCACTCTTGATATCAAAACCATTCATAAGTTACCTAAAGAGACAGCCCACTTAAAAGTTTCCTTACTACTGTACTTCCACCAAGAGATCACCTTGATGGTTGCATAGAAGATCTGTGGATTTGATAGGAAAGGACATGAAATCAGGCCAGCTGTTGAGAGTTTTGTTTAGGTGCCTTATCCATGTCCAGCTCCTTCCTCCAGACACCAAGGCAACAAGATTCTGTTGAGTGGTTGGGAGCAGTGACGAAAGAAAGCAAGGCACGTGCTAGGAAGGGATGTAGGTCAATAGCAGAGCATATGCATGCATGCATAAAATCCCCGGTCCAACCCCAGCACATTTACAAAGGGTGGGAGAGACCAAACTATGAAACTATGCTGTTGCTAGTGAATGTAGATGTGCTAAATGAACAAAGGTCTGATGACATGTCAGCTTAATGCATTCATAAGTCAGGGTCAGGCATATATAGTACAACACTATAAAGATACCAGGGTAGATAGTCTCTTCCATCACATTCCTATCTTTTTTATGGGGAGGGAGGAATACTTTTTGGTAGAATCCATGTTTTGCTTGCAGAAGGTCTGTGTTCTATTATAACATATTCTGATAGGGCTAGGGAAGATGTTGCTTCCTGAGTGTTGGCAATGGACCAGTGCTCTGGCATATCTTCCTGTATTAAATTATCCTAATTATTATGAAACAGTTTTATCGTTGCTAATGATTTATTCATTTTCTCAATTTATTTTGCAAAATAAAGATGGAAATGGCAAAGGTTTATTCTGAATAGTTTGTGATGGTGAGAAAAATATGATTGTTGTAGGTTTTTTGGGCTGTTTTGCTGTTTGGCGAAATTTTAGGAAGAAAAAGTTTCGGAATAAAGTTTCGGAATACAGTCAAACAGCCCAAAAAGTCTACAACTACCAATGGATCCTGGCTGTGAAAGCCTTCAAGAATACGTGAGAAAAATACATTGGTTTTTAAAAACCATTTTCACTGTAGATGACCAGGACAATTCTAATTGGAAAATGTCGTATAAATAAAACATTAAAATGATATTGGTGTATGAGCTTAAGTACAACTCCCCTTACTGAGAACCATATAGTGGTCAGGAGGGTAAATATAATCTAACGTATAATGGTTTTAATTATTTGAACTTCTAACTGTCTGAACAGACGAAAGAGTGGCCCTCAATATTAGGGAAGACAAAGAAAGAGAAACCTACTGAAAGATTCTACTCTGAGTCGGAAGAGGAAGAAGAAGAAAACCAAGAAAGTGATGATTCTTCTAGCAGTAGTGACAGTGGTATGTGTGGATACAGAAAGATTACAAGCAAGATCTTGACTGTTGGTCATGTGCTCCCCTCATTTTACTAAAGCTTCTAAATGAATTATTTTAGGTTTTTAGATGATAGCAGTTGTCTGTGACCGGATTAAGACCTTATTACAGTGCGTTCTTACACTTATTTAATGTGGTTTTGTACCTATTGGCACAATCCCACACTCAGTAACACAGAAGTAAATTTAATTGACTTTTACTTATTCCCAAATAAGTTTAGAAAGTTTACCGTCTTTAGCTACATTTTACATACCTGTTTCTGTGTTCTCAAGAAGATGATATAAATAATGCTAGTTGGTGGTTGTTAAAAATATCAGTTGGACCTTCTCTGATGTCTTAGACTATTTGTAATAATGGGTTGAGTTCAAATGTGATGACTGCCTGAAAGTCACCCAGTGAATTTCATTTTAACATTAGTCTCCACAAATAATGTACTGTACCACACTGGCTCCTTTTGTTTCGACTCTTTTGAAATACATTGTTGTTATGTATTGTCAAATCACTCCGAACGTATGGCAACCCCATGAATGAAAGATCTCCAAAATATCCTGTCCATACAGCCTCACTCAGCTCTTGCAAACCGAAGCCTGTAGCTTTCTTTAGGGAGTCAATCTCTTGAATTGGTCTTTTCCTGCAGCATTTCACCTTTCCCAGCATTATTGTAAGTTTCAGTATTTTTTTACTTCAGAGATAGTTTATGCTTGATTTGATCTAAGACTCACTCGGTTGTCCTTCTGGCATTCCAGGGTATCCACAAAGCTCTGTTCAGAGTTTTGCACATGTCTTAGAGGGAGGGAACCTTGCTTCCCTAGGAATCCCTTTTAACTTGAGGAAGGCTTTGGGAGCCTCAAGACAGGATAGTGGGGAAACTTTAATAACTGAAAAATCACTACTGATAGTCTCAGTCCAATCAACAGGACAATCAGCAGAGATGTTTTAAAGTAATAAAGGCTTCTCTCTGTCCTGAGACTTCCAAAGGCCTCCCCAGGTCAAAAGGGGTCCTGAGGGAGCCTCAAAACCTGGGGTGGTAGAATAGGAAACTTTAAATGAGTGATAAAAGCCCTTGGCTGACGACATCCTCAGTTTGCACAGACATAACCTTAAGTCTCTGAGTACTTGAATGCTATTTTTTAGTTAAGATAGTTTTTAATTTTTTACCTATTTTAATTATTCAGTGTATTTTGATCAGTTTTATAGTTTATTTTTAATGTATATCTTATTGTTTTCTGTTAATAATTATGCTCCTTTTAATACTGTGAGCCCCTTTGAGTTCTCTTGTCGAGAGAAAGACAGCCTGTAAAACAAACTAACACACAACCTTAAGTAAGAGGATTGGGTCCATTAAGATACACACAAAAATAATAATGTGCAGTACCCAAATGAAAACCTTTCACTCCCCAGTTGAGTTGTTAAAAGCCTGTCTAAAAAGGATGGTCTTCTCCTGTCATTGAAGGCCTTCCCTCAAATTCCTCCCAGACATGTGTGAGAGAGCAGTTGGAGTGAGCAAAAGACCTCCTCTGATCTCAGGAACTGAGAAGGCTCATATGGGGAAGCTTTATAGGGCTTTGTTGTTTAGTCATTAAGTCGTGTCCAACTCTTTTTGACCCCATGGACCAGAGCACGCCAGGCCCTCCTATCTTCCACTGCCTCCCAGAGTTGGGTCAAATTCATGTTGGTAGCTTTGATGACACTGTCCAGCCATCTCGTCCTCTGTTGTCCCCTTCTCCTCTTCGCCTTCACACTTTCCCAACATCAGGGTCTTTTCTAAGGAGTCTTCTCTTCTCATGAGATGGCCAAAGTATTGGAGCCTCAGCTTTAGGATCTGTCCTTCCAGTGAGCTCTCAGGGTTGATTTCCTTTAGAATGGATAGGTGTGTTCTCCTTGCAGTCCAGGGGACTCTCAACAGTCTCCTACAGAACCACAATTCAAAAGCATAAGTTCTTCAGAGGTCAGCCTTCTTTATGGTCCACTTCAGTACATCACTGCTGGAAAAACCATAGCTTTGACTATGTGGACTTTTGTCAGCAAGGTGATTTCTCTGCTTTTTAAGATGCTTTCTAGGTCTGTCATCACTTTCCTCCCAAGTAGCAGGCGTCTTTTAATTTCGCGACTGCTGTCGACATCTCCAGTGATCATGGAGCCCAAGATGGTAAATTCTGTCACTGCCTCGATATCTTTTCCTTCTATTTGCCAGGAGGTGATGATCTTAGTATTTTTAATGTTGAGCTTCAGACTATTTTTGGCACTCTCCTCTTTCATCCTCATCTGCGTATCTGAGGTTATTGATATTTCTTCCAGCAGTCTTAATTCTGGTTTGGGATTCCTCCAGTCCAACCTTTCGCATGATGTATTCTTCATAAAAGTTAAATAAGCAGGGAGACAATATACAGCCTTTTCGTACTCCTTTCTCAAATTTGAACCTACCAGTTGTTCCATATCCAGTTGTAACTGTTGCTTCCTGTCCCACATATGGATTTCTCAGGAGATAGATAAGGTGGTCAGGCACTCCCATTTCTTTAAGAAGTTGCTATACTGTAGTTTGCTATGGACCACACAGTCAAAGGCTTTTGTGTAGTCAATGAAGCAAAAATAAAATGTTTTTCTGGAACTCTCTGGCTTCCTCCATATTCCAGCGTATGTTAGCTATTTGGTTTCTAGTTTCTCTGCCCCTTCGAAATCGAGCTTGTACTTCTGGGAGTTTTTGGTCCACATCTGCTGAAGCCTACCTTGTAGGATTTTGAACATAACCTTGCTAGTGTGTGAAATGAGTGCATCATAGAGCTTTACAGTTCATAACCAGCACTTTGAACTGGCCCCAGAAATGGACCAGCAACCAGTGAAGCTGTTGTAATGGAAGTTATATGCCCCCTGTAATCAGTTCTGGTCAGATGTCTGGGTGCAACGTTTTGAGCTGCCAAGTTTCCCAACTGTCTTCGAAGGCAGTCCCACATAGAGCATGTTACAGTAATCCAAGCAGGGTGTAACTAAGGCATGTGTCACCATGTCCAAATCAGAATAGGCACAGCTGGGACACTAGCTTTAACTGTGTAAATGAACTCATTGCCACTGCTGAAATCTTTGCATCTAGGCTTAAGGATGTGTCCAGGTATACACCAAAGCAGCAAACCTCAGTTGTTGGGGGAATGTAACCTCATCCAGGACAGGTTGAATCCTGATCTGCCTTATGATTGAGCAGGAGCATCTCTGTCTTGTCTGAATTCAATCTGTTTTTTCGAATCGAGTCTTATTACCAAGGACAAGCACTGGTTTAGAACAGGAAGAGCTTCCTTGTAGTTAGACCAAAAGGAGAGATAGAGTTTGGCATCCTCTGCATACTGCTATCATCAGACTCCAAAATGCTGGACAACATCTTCCAGTAATCTTAGTAGCCCAGGGACAAAGCAGAGCATGGTAGTTTTGGCCAAGATGTCAAACAGGAGTCCCCAGCACCACTCATCCCTCTAAGAAGGACTGGGGCCACTGTAAAACAGAATGTCTTAGTCCCATCCCAGAATGATACGCCAGAGTGGTTCAGTGGTGTCAAAAACTACTGAGAGGTCCAGCAGAACCAAAGGGGACGCACTCCCTCTGTCCGGTTTCTGCCATAGGTCATCCACCAAGGTGGCCAAGGTGTCCTTGTTGCATAACCAGGTCTGAAGGTAGATTGAAATGGATCCAGATAATCCATCTGATCCAGAAACCTCTGGAGATGAGAAGCCAGCATATAATGGCAGGATTGGAGACTGGATGATAATTGCCCAGTAAGTGGGATTCAGGGAGGGCTTTTTCAGCAAGAATCTCACTCTTACTACCTCTAGGCATGCTGGCACCCTGCCTTGTTGCCAGGAGGCATTCTCCACTCCTTTTTTCTCCTCACCCAGTCCCATTCTGATACATTTTATAAGCCAGAAGGGGCAAGGATCCAGCATACATGTGGTGGGCTTCACCTCTCCGAGGATCTGGTCCATATTTTTGAGCAAGCAGGGGCCAAAGTTACAAGACTTGTATCGCCAAAATGCAGCGTAAATTTATTACAGAGCTGTCAAGCGGTCAGCATCTTATTTTTGTGGCAAGCATGTAATAGGCCCTTGGCTACTTGAAACAGCTCTGCTAGGTCCAGATATAGTGTCAGCAGAGAAGAAAAGTGTATTTGCTGCAGCCACTATCTCAAAGTTATCTTATATTACAAGTGCTAGCTCATGCTTGGCCAGCTTCATCCTGAGGTTTTCACCATCATCACTTTAGTCTCTATCCCACTTGTTTCACCACTGCCAGGTCTCTAGTAATCTAGAGGGTTTGTTTGGCTTCACTGTGTGGAAGAGGACACTTGGGCATGATTGGATTGCTTAGGATTGAAACCTATACATTATTCCTTTTATAGTGTTTAACAGCCATCCACATAACTCAGTTGAACAGGTATATGGAGTGATTTGAATCATACATACTCAAAGTCACTCCAGATTACTGATTAATGAGTTTGAATTTTCAGTCCCTCTCTGGCAGTTGTGGCCTTGGGTGAAATATGCTTGTGAAAGTTTCCTTAGTTTTTGGACATAGTCAGAAGACAATACTAGTTGTTATACTGTTGAATCCTTTGTGCTCCCACCTTACCATTTATTTCTGTTTAGTTATTAAATTAATATTGGAATAAACGCTGGAAACTGAGGTTCTTTTTTTTTTGCATAGTCTAAAGTTGCTCTTGCTCAGTTACGGGACTTTTTGATATGTCTGCTAACCTATTCTTCATGAAGATTAAGCTAAATTCCAGAAAGGAGTTTAATTAATAATTAATTAATTAATATGTCCAGATTAAGGATCACATGGGAGCTATACCTTCAAAATATACAGGACAAGACATCTTTCATGGTGCTGGTGATAGCGGTTGGTAATAGATGTGTTCCCCCTATTTTCAGCTCAAGACACTTCACAAAGCAGATCACAACTTAAAAATATAAAATACAGAGTAAAATTGAAAGGTTGAAACCACAGACTTCATTTTGTCACGATACTCCATATGATACTTAGATCCTGTCTGTTCTATTGAAAACCTTTTGAAGTACTGGGGACTGCATGCAGTTGTAACATGTGAAACTTCACTGCATTACCTTGGAAGATCTCCATGCTCGTGTTGTTTTGAAAGATGTACCCGTCTGAAGTACAGTTTGGTCCAGAAATAATTGTACACTGACACTAGTTTTGTTATCTTGGCTGTTTACCAAAATTAATTTAAGTTAAAGTTAATGAATATGGGCTTAAAGTGCAGTCTCTCAGCTTTAATTTGAAGGTATTCACATCCAAATTGGAGGAAGTGTTTAGCAATTACAGCTCTTTAATATGTGGCCCCCTCTTTTTCAAGGGACCAAAAGTAATTGGACAGTTGATTTAACAGTTGCTTCATGGACAGGTGTGGGCTACTCCTTCCCTATTTCATCATCAATTAAGCAGGTAAAAGGTTGGAGTTGTTTCCAGCTGTGTCATTTGCAGTTGGTAGCTGTTGCTCTGAACCCACAACTTGTGTTCAAGAGCTTTCAATGCAAGTGAAACAGGACCATCCTCAGGCTGAAAAAAAGAAAAGAAAACAATCCATCAGAGAGAGAGCAGGAACATTTATGAGTGGCCAGATTAACAGTTTGGTACATTCTGAGGGGGAAAAAGAATGCACTGGTGAGTTCTGCAACACAAAAAGGCCTAGACATCCACCAAAGACAACAGTGGGTGATGATCGTAGGATCCTTTCCATGGTAAAGAAAAATCCCTTCACGACATCCAGCCAAGTGAAGAACACTCTCCAGAAGGTAGGCATATCAATATCCAAGCCTACCATAAAGAGAAGACTTCATGAGAGCAAATACAGAGGGTTCACCACAAGGTTCAAACCATTCATATGTCTCAAGGATGGAAAAGCCAGATCAGACTTTACAAAAAAAATCTTTAAAAAAACAGCTCAATTCTGGATCAGCATTTTTTGGAGAGATGAAAGTAAGATCAACCTGTACCAGAATGATGGGAAGAAAAGAGTATGGAGAAAGCTTGGAATTGCTTGTGATCCAAAACACCACATCATCTGTAAAACATGGTGGAAGCAGTGCGATGGCATGGGCACACATGTCTTCCAGTGGCACTAGGTTACTAGTGTTAACTGATGATGTGACAAGACAGAAGCAACCAGATGAATTCTGAAATGTATAGGGATATATTGTCTGCTCAGATTCAGCCAAATACAGCAAAGTTGGTTGGACAACACTTCACGTTACAAATGGACAATGACCCAAAACATCCCGAGAAAACAACCCAGGAATTTTTTGACACAAAGAAGTGGAATATTCTGCAATGGCAAAGTTAATCACCTGATCTCAGCTTGATTGAGCATGCTTTCACTTCTTGAAGGCAAAACGTAAGGCAGAAAGACCCACAGACAAACAACAGAAGACAGCTGCAGTAAAGGCCTGGCAAAGCATCACAAAGGAGGAAACCCAATGTTTGATGATGCCCATGGATTCCAGTCTTCAGGCAGTCATTGCCAGCAAAGAATTCTCAACAAAGTGTTAAAAACGAACATTTTATTTATGATTGTGTTAGTTTGTCCAATTACATTTGAGCCCCTGATATTAGGGGACTGTGTATGAAAATTGTTGCAGTTCCTAAATGTTTCATATGATATTTTTATTCAACCCCCTTGAAATAAAGATGAAAGTCTACACTTCAATTGCATCTCAGTTGTTTCATTATAAATCTGTTGTGGTGACGTAGACAACCAGATTTATGAAAATTGTGTCAGTGTCCAACTATTTCCAGATCTAACTATATGTCAGGATGTGTGCTATGCTGTGTCTAAGTAAAAATGGGGAAATAACATTCCACAGTATTTATCTAATGCTTCATGGAAGGTCTTGTTTAAAGTATGTAATGGGTTGATTGCAATGTGTGATGTTTTTCTTGAAAATTCATTTGACTTTTTGTCATCTAGGTCTTCAAATCCAGCCTCTGAATTTAATGAATCACTCAAATAGAAGTGAATAAATACAGGCACACATACACACAAATTAAAAAATTACATGTTTTCACATCCAGTTGGTTTAGTCCTCTAAATACTAAAGATACAAGAAGAAAATCATGAAAGATTATTAAGGGTTGAAAGTAGAAGCAATGGACTGAAACTTGGAGAGTCTACCTTCAAGTAAGATATTGGAAACACTTTCCAGCCGATTAGAAACTGAATAACTTGTTTAAATTTGTGATTAAATTTTCACCACTAGATTGTGTTCATGAATGGATTAAGTACTTAAGTTGTGAATATGATACTATGGTAGAGGACATAGGAGGTCATGTTTAATCTCTTTCCAGAAACCAATTCAGTATGTGCTTGAGTTTTAATGAAAACATTGTTGTACCCCTTTGAAAACAGCATGTTTAAGGTGTACAAAGTTAACATTTTTAGCGGGTGGAATTACATCATGATGTTTAAATAACATATGGCATCAATTTTGTAAGTTATTCCCCAGAATTCTGTGCAAATGTAAGTTTTTTTTTCTATTCTAGAAAGTAAATCGGATAGTGAAGGAGAAAAAATGGAAGGGCAAGGAGAAAGCAGTGTGGAAAGTACCGACAGTTCATCTACTGACAATGAGAATGATAGAAAATCAAAGGCCAAAGGGCAAGTATCAAGAAAAGGGGTTTCAATTTTAAAGAAGTATGTATGTAGTTTAATTATGACAAATAGCAGGTCAGAATATTGGAGCCTGTGAACAAATACTGTTCTACATAACATTCACTTTGGAAACCTGATATTTATTTCTTTATTTTTTATTTATAATTGTAACATATATGCTAAAACAACTTTTTATATTGCCTTTTAACTTTAGCTGAATATTTGAGGGTGGTGAGCAACGTATATTAGCTTCACATTGGGAAGACAACCAGCTATGTGTTTAATAAAACACTTAATTACCTTAAAAAACAGTTCTGCTGTGGGTTAAAATTAAATCTCTCCATATCCTACCATTATATAATTGAGGCAATTGATTTTTCCCTAAGTAATTTTATGTTAAAAAGATTATGATCCAGATATTGAAGGCAATGGCTGTGAAGGGAGACAATCAAAAGCTGCTCAAGTATTAGTGCTTTTTAAGATTGCCTGTTATCAACAGAGTTAACATGTATTAAAATATCATTAAAATTTTAAGTAATTGGAGCTAATACCTTGGATTGTCTGAATCTGTTTCTTCCAATTCTGTCAGCAAGTGGCCTCTGCAGACATGATCGCCCTTTTGCTCTGTAGCCTGCTGCCAGCTAACTTGATGAGTTTGCAGCTCAGCTCAGTTGTGGCTGACAGCGTTGATTGGGGCGCAGTACACACTGTGCTCCTTTTATTACAGACAGTAATTAAAGCAGCTCGCCCTGCCACTTCCATAACAAACACAGCATAATGCCCTAATTATGACTTTATTAATTTAAGTCAGAATTTAATGATTTAAAAGTGATTTATATTGCTTTTCCTGTTCAGAACAAATGAAATCTGTAGGATATATTAATACATGCTTTTCATCATTGCAGAGTTTAAAAGCTAGTTATCAGTTTTTAAAAATTATTAGATGAACATCTGAAACTCTTAACCAGTAATGTAAACAATAATTATGTAGGAAAACTGAGTAGCAAAATACTTTGCCCCTTAAAAAACTCAACCTTCAAATTTGAAATTGTTTTCAGTTTTATACAGATTGAAAGTTGGGAACAACTGCACCTAGGCAGTTACATTTCAATTAGGGAACTGTGTTTTCGAAGGCCATAATGGTTTTCAGTAATCTGGAATTGCTGAAGTTGTTTCTGTGAAGGTGTTCCTTCACAGAATGGCAGAGTAATGCAGTGCTCATTGCAAAATATTTACAGAACTGTCCAATGTATGATAAAAGGTCTTCTCCACTGAAGAATCAAATATCATGGCATAAATTCATTGACCAGAATCATATTGATCTTCATGTCAAATTTGCATAACTCACCACTTCTAATTGCAGCAAATTGACAAGGTGCTGAGGCATGTCTCAGGTGTGTACCTAGTCGTATGTCTAATTGTATAGCCAAGATGCATCCCCATGCCTTATCCATTAGCGCCATTTAGCCACAACATGTTAGCTCAGCCCTTATGTGAGCAGAGGCAGAATTCTGACCAATATTGCACTAGCATCTGACAGCTAATGCAGTGTATATTTATTTCCTCCCACTCTTTGCTGCCCAGAAACTACCTTTGAATCATTTCCCAGTCCTTCAAATCAAGAAACAATTCTTCTAGTGTAACCCACACTGTTGGATACTCTTCTACACGTTTAGCTATATGTACAGATATTTCTGTTCAGTCCTGTACATGGAAATTCTTTGATATGGGCAATTCATGGTGGTTTTTGGAACTCTTGATAGATAATGAATGGGACTTCCTGGTTGCAGCTAATTTAAGCTTATTGACTTAATTGATTTAATTTAATTAACACTGGATTTATCTCTATGCCATATAGTTCAGTGCATGGGTCTGCAAATATTGGATGACCTTTGAAAAGTAGTCTGTTACATATGCTCACAAACTTTTGTTTGTAAAACATGGCCAAATTATAATTAATCATTAGGAATGTATTGCAAGCACATATGCTCTCCCTCACCTGATGTGAACCCCCACCAACATACTGCAATTTATATAAATCATTGTGGTGATGTCCCATTCAGAGAAAAAGTGTGGTTACTGCTACACACAAACTCAGTTTTACCTTATTTAACTGTGTTAAATAACCATACAAAAAGGGTTAGGGCTAGGGCACTAAATACATCTGGTCTGTTGCCATTTTTGTCACCTACATAGGGAAGGTGATAATTTGAAGAAGAAATTTTCTGCTCTCCCTAGAAGGTCTCCATGTAATTTGGAAGATTTGATTTCAAAACCTTGTAAAGAGCCATCATAGACAGCAGAGGCTCTCTTCTTCAAACTGTTACTCCCTGTGTATAGAGGACAACGGGGGGGGGGGATGCAACAAAACCAGGAACACTCTGAAGACCATCTCTACAAACAATGGATACTGTGCTATTGTGGAGAGAATTGTGATGTGCGTAGGAATGGGGGCAACATTGCTCATCTAGAGCATTTTTGAGCAGGAGCTATTGTTTGTCCATAACGTACAAAACCATGCCACACTGTGTGCCATCTTACTTGAAAGATTCTGTTCAATCATTCTCAGTGATTCAAGTTGTTTGAAAATGTTATGATGTATGGCAAGGCTATATAATTTTCTACATTTTATTTAATTTATTTTATAGAAATGATAACTTTTGCTTATTTCTTATACCTTTGTTTTGTATTTAGCAATTCTGAAGGAACAGAAAAAAATAAAGTGAAATCTCAAAAAGCAGAAGGTTCTTCAGACTCAGAATCTAGCTCAGTGGAGGAAAGTTCTTCAGATTCCAGCTCAGAAACTGACTCTGAAAGTAATTTGGAAGCTAGAAAATCACTGAGTGCTGGTCTCCCTCCCAAGGTACAGCTCTAATGTTGTGTATGTTAAAATACATAGTTCTTGCATTTATGTTACTATAATGAAAGCAAATGCAGATTTTCTCAGAAAATGTGTGGTCTTCTCACTGCTTTGTTTTTTATTGGAAGCTCTTTGCAAAAATATTAATTGAAAGTTAACGAACATTTCTGTGCTATTATTTTGTGACTGAGGAAGTAGGAGGCTGTTTTTAACTGTGGCCAAATTCCTATTGGGAAAAACTGTGCATGCTCACATGCAGTGGTGCATTGACTTACAACCATAATTCCAGAAGATGGATGTAACTTGAAATGGTCATAAGTTGAAGCACCATTTCCCTTTGAAATGCACTGGAACACGATTAATCCATTCTGGCATTTTAAAAAATACCATAAATCAATCAATCAATCAAGCAAGCAAGCAAGCAAGCAAGCAAGCAAGCAAGCAAGCACGCACGCACGCACGCACGCACGCACGCACGCACGCACGCACGCACACAGAAGGCCCCATCGGAAGGCACTGGGGCTTTAAAAAAAATAACCAGAAATAAACAGATCAAGCCCTGAAGGTGCTGGGGCTGCAAAAAACAAAACAAAACCCCAAAATAAACATTGGAACAAGCCCCAAGCTGGGACTGCCAAAAAAAATCACCAAAAAACAAAACACAGCACAGAAACCTACCCCCCCCCACCCCAAACCCATCCTGCAAAAGCCACCCAGAACAGTTTTTAAAAAGCAAAAAGCAGGCAGTCCCAAGCCTCCTCCGATCCGGCTGCAGCCGAGGTGGCAGTGGCGGGGCTGGCCATGATGGAGGGCGAGGCCGGGGCAAGCAGCCGGAGCGCCCCGGTGCAATACTTACTTCACAACAGGTATCATAATTCAGTTTGTTATCATGCAGGCAGTTCAGACTCTACTGTCACAAACTTTTAACAATGGGCTTATTAAAATGCTTATTAAAACAGGCCTTCTTAGGATGGCTACCTGCTTTTAATTTCACTTCTACAAGCATCTCTAGCTCCATTCTAGCAGCTTGTCCCTCCATCTGAAGAAACTCTGACATAAGTTCTCCTGACTGCTTAACCTCTTTCCTCAAGAGTTATCTAGTGCCTTGCATAACCAAACCTTATCTGCTAGTTAAAATAATATTAGCATTCAGCATTCTAAATGTCTCTCTTATTACTTGATTTAATTTTTCTTTGATATGTTATTGGCTTGGGATACTTTTAGAAGGCTAGCAGGTTAGCTTGTTCATCATAGTGCTGTTCTTAATTACTAGAATATGTAAACTGTTCTAGCTGTTATTTATAAAAACATTTAGCAGAAGCCGACTCAAATTCTGAAGGTTGTACTTTATGGTCAGTCGAAAACAAAACAAAAACCCAAGCTCTTTGCTGTTATGGCTGATGAAAACAGTGTGCTTATTTTGGGCTCTGACTCAGACGCTTGGTGGAAAATTGTGCTTTGCTTTGTGATTATGGCCAAAGTGCAGACTCTGGGTTGCATGCAGTCCCTAATATGCCCCTTCTGGTGATGCTTACTCGTCTTCTCTATCCAGTTTGTGCTACCTAAACTGACAACCACCTCTAAACACCAGCACACTGTTCGGGGTTGCCATTGTAAGTAGAGATGCCTCCCCTTGGATTATTCCTTCACCAAACCAGGCAAACAACTTGTGTTTCCTTTCCATTGCAATGAAGGACTGAACCTACACTGCCTCTATTAATACAATACGAATATTTTTGATTAAAGAAACAGCCTATGCTATTTTGGTGACACAACCATGACTATTACTGAAATAGTGTTGCTTAGCATAGTAAGTCTCACTAGAGTCGGTTCATTGAATCAGTGAGGATTTGGTGAGTCAATTCCTCTGCAAGTTCCATTGCTTCAAATGAGCCTACGTTAGTTGTGACTTGCTATGCTAAAGTTGTAACTAAAGTAGGTCCATGAATCCATGGAAATTATGGAGGAGTTGATTCACCAAATCCTCGCTAATTCAGTGGGCCTGCTTTAGTGCAACTTACTACACTAAGAAACAGAATTTCCACCTTTATATCCCAACACTGGCCAATAGTATGTGTGGTATGGTATCTTGTGAATCTAGTTTAAACTATAATAACCAGGGTTTGAAAACCAAAAGTTGTTTTTTTTTAATTAAAGTTACAGTTTGTCTAACATTTTCATCAGACAGGCAAAACCTCTTTTGCTTTTCACTTCCTTTTTTCTTGACAAGTCAAAAAAACTTTTAGTTATTTAAGATACCATTATCCATCCCATCTCCTGGTACATATCCAACAAACCACTGCCAATCAAAACACAGTCAATCACCATGCAAACTAATATGAACATATATCAAAATGAAAATACAATATGGAATCTCCACACAGTGAAAAAAGTAAAAAATGCTTATTTCTTTTATTAAAAGTGCTCCAAAAAAAAAACACTTCTTGTGCTTTCTGGAGATATGCAAGGTTTTTTGTCATATGTGGGCTACTCCCTCAAATCAGTTTTTTAAAAATATTTTAACCACCAATAGTGTTTTCTTGTAAATTTGCTGGTCTGTGATCATAATAAAGAATGATGATGATGAGTAAACAAGAAAAGGCTTTTAAAAAGAAATATAATTTAGAAGTGAGTGGAACAGATTTCCAAAATCTAGGGGGTCAGCCTGTGTACCCAGTTGATAATTATATCTAATGGGCAGTCATATGGATCTCTCTGACATTATCAAACACTTCCTCAGTTAAAGTATTGTCTGTGCTTATTAATAGCAATTGTTATTGGTCTTTTCCAAATGGGTAACCTTAAGTTCTTATGTCCTACTCCTAACTGAAGATGCTAGAGACTCAATCTGGGGCATCCTGGAAGCAAAATGCATACTTTACATCTGAGCTATGACTCATTTTATCTTGTAATTGTTTGCTAGACTCTTTGCACATGGCAAGTGATGTGCTGCACTGTATTAACTGTTTAGTAAAATAGTTGAAGTTGTATTTTTATCATAGAATTTTACAAATTGTACTTTCGTCTATTATGGCTTATTCAGGTGGGGGGAAAGTCCTTTCATACAATCACTGTTGCTCTCTAAAGGTTCTGATGAGCAGACAGACTGATAATCCTGAACTACTAGTCAGCAAACATTCTGGTAAACCAAAAGCAAACATGAGCCTGGTGTTAATGTATTGCTGGCTCTTCAGATGGTTTACATCTGATTTATTGGAGTATTTGTTGACCAGTAGTTTGGAGAATTAGTCTGTCTGAAAACTTCCAGAAAGTGAGATGGATTGCTTAGAAGTTTTAGTTTAGTTCTTATACAAATATTTTATTAATTGTATTTAGACAGTATGATTGCTTATGCCATGAATGTTCTGTCATTAGTGGATTACTATATATGTTACTATATATTTTTGACACATCCTTGTTGTTTCTTAATATAATTCTACATGGCATCGACTGGGAGAAAAGTCGCAGTTAGCCTTCATTTTAATGAAATGAAAAAAGTTTTGTATTCTGAAATCTTTATGCTAAGTTACGGTTCAGTTCTTGACAATTGCCATAGTAGATCAATTTGAATGAGAAAATAACATTTTTTCTCTTAGGTGGGCTTCTGTTATACCAGAAGTATATGTTAGAATATACTCTTTGAAGAGAGGGGCATTACTGAATTCTTCATATATGATAAAGGCAAAATAATTTTAATGGAGACTTATGATGGACATATTAAGATGAAACTGTATCAGTGTAGATATAGATTTTGATTATTTTATTTTTGAAGACGAAATGAAAATATCACCTGATAAAGACCATAAATTGGATACTTCCAGTTGTGCACTTAGAAACTTAAATTTCAAACAGGTGTAGCATATTAGTAAAAGTACATTAATTGACATAGGCACAAAAATCAGTAAATGTTTAGATTACTCCTAAAATTCAGATAAGAATACAATGCACAAATAAATAAAAGTCTCTGTACTGGGATTTTAAAATCATTTACTGTTGGCCTAGACATGTATAATACAGTTGCTCAGCTGTTAAAAACCTGATCCACTATTTAAAAAAATATATAAAAACAAATTGTCTATCTTTCCGCCTGATCTCTTTTCAACTGCTAACACAATGGAAACAGTAGGTGATCAGTCAGTGCATTTGGTTTGTCAATGATGGTTTTCTATAAATATTGGAAAGGTGAGGAACAGAATTCACACAGTAAAATATGATTTCATCTGCCTCTTCTCTGCAGTTCCATGGCTCATGCTGCGGTGTGAAATTTTCATTTTACACACTTTGCAGGCGGAGCACATGAATTATGCATTGAGCAATAGAAATCTCCTGCTTGAAGTCCTATATGCATTTACCCAGTTTCTGTCTCTATTATCAAGATGAATTGCAAATGGAGAAATGTTTGATGGGATATGGCTTAACTTCTTTGTTTAGCATTCAGCTTGGACTTCATTCTTTTCAGAGGAAACAGGTTTTGTTTCTTAGGTGGGATGTGTGGTAAATTGCCATGTTGAGAAAAGAGCAAATACAGGTACCTGGTTTTAGAGATCTGTTTTGGTTAGACTATTTGTAAATGGAAAACATCTGTGTTGTGATTGTGTCTTGAGTTTATATTTTTAAGTTTTAATAATTTGAGCCCCAGTTCTTATTTGTAAAAGGAGAATAATACATTATTTTAAAAGTGTGCCGCTTATTTTTCAAGGGAAATAACCTGTTGTATGTTGTAACTATCAGCTGCACTGCCTTCTGATTAATTTCCAAGTGCAATTATCAATTCTGGGTATTATATATAAACCTCTTGATGGCATAGGAGCAAGATACCCTATAGGGCTGCCAGACTTACTCAAAATATGATTCATCATACTCTCTAAAGCTTGCACCTTCTGAGCCATTGCTGGCACAATGATTGCCTTTCTTTTTTAGGGACCAGGTTTTAGAATTATCTTTTGATCCAGAGGTCTTGAGCAGCCCTGACACATTCTTCCAACATCTACATTTCACTGCAACCCCCAGTCACCCATCCTACTCCATTTCTTAGGGTCCTTTGAAATACTGTGGAGTTATCCAGTCATAATTAACTGATTTTCATATGTCAGAGTAGACAAAAAGGACTGAGGATTAGTTCCTATGTTGTAATTAAGTTGCACCGATTTTAGTGGGATTTACTTCCAGCTAATTTGAGAGAGAGAGAGAAGCCCAAGTGAATTTTCTCTTCAGGATCAAAGTTCTATAAATTTTGATTGATCGTAGTAGTCAGCTATTATTTGTGGTGCTTCTCTTTCCCCAATTACTGGGTAGACAAAAGACAGTCAGTGCTGCCAATATGTTCATGCAATTCTTAGTTGTAAGTTTTTGACACGTACACAGATAAACAGCATTCAGTACATTGTTTTGCCCATGTTTCTGTTGCACACTTGTTTTTTTACATACTGGTTAGGTAAAGCTCTATTTTTCCTCCCATTGATTTGCTGAGGGAATATGGGAAGCTCCCAGCTGTAGCAATCATCACTATATGTCTCCATCCTTCTCCACAGCTGAGATCTTGTGTAAGTTTCAGGTGTTTTTGACTTTTCAGGGTATCTTCTGTCATGCTGACTTTGGGCATCCACAGTAGGGAGATATTCATAGTAGCCAGCATTGAGCTAGTAGCAGCATTTGTTGAATCCTGTTATGTCTTTCTCATGATCTTTGTATGGCTAGCAATGTTGGTTTCAGAGTTGTTTTTTGGTCTGCATAACTTTTGTCTACAGATGCCATTCATCCTTTACAAAAGGCTGGTTCTTCAAGAACAGATACAAGTTACATGTTATTCTTCAGTCAGTAGTTAAGTTTATGCAGTTATTAGTCTTGGCTAACAGAAACAGATACATGCATTTCTCTCTTTTCTCTCACATGTACTGTATATAGAATTATTATTTTGGATTTCAAGTATAGAGGAAATAGCATATAAACAATGTGTTTTCTTTTCCAGAGTGATTTATTTATTTGGATTGCTGATATTTTCATTACTAGCTTTTAAAATGTTCCGAATATTTCATTAGTGAAAAGCCTTTATTCAGAGGCTTTTAAAGAGCTCTGGGCTTTCTCCCTACTTTTGTCTTCCAGCAGCTCTTGTTTACTTTGCTCTTATATCTAAATAGAAAAGAAACAGGCTGTTGTCAAGAAATATTGAAGTTAAGGCACATCCAGGACCTCAGGTTTGCAGAAAAGTAAAGATTGCTAAATGCTAATGTGAGACATGCCTTGCAAACTACTAAACCAAAAGCACTACAACTGCCTTTAAAAAAACCCAAATAATAACCTTCCGCTGTATCAGAACCATTAACTATGACATAATGTTGGTGTTATAAGAATTTGTGCTGGTGTTCAAAAGGTTTGCTGGTTCCATTTATTAGGAATTTTTACTATGTGACTTTTACAGTAATTGAGTTCAATTAATGAAGTATTCCTACGCTTTTGACAGAAAGAAGAACAAACCCCACGCAAGAAGACATCTTCTACTAAGCGAGAGGTGTCACTCTTAGATTTGGATGACTGTAAGTGCTTCCAATGGTTTCCATTTCAGCTGTCTTATGTCAGTTAGATCAATTGAATTATATTGTGAATGACCTGAAGTAATGCTGTTTGTTGCAAACAGATATAATTGGATGTGTATGTACACTTTAACTGTGTGTTAGTTAAATGATACAAAAATATAGTGCATTTTTAACAGCATGTATAATGTACTTCAACGTCTGTTTTTCTAAATAATTTCATGACAGGTTGGAGAAGCTTTCTTTTGCAATTTCTCGAATGTACTAAATGGTTTAATCAATGCATTGTAATACATATTGTTCCATTTTATACATTGTAAGCAAGGATTAGAGATGGGTGTATTTGTATACAAATACAAATACCCCTGCACAGCTGGACTTAACATCCACTCATGTGTCTTATTTGTTTACGAATACCCCCATCTTTAGCAAGGATTCTTTTATAACTGAATAGCCTTGGAAAGCTAGGTTAGTAAGTAGAGACTTGATATTTGCAAATCACACTGTGATTTCATTAAGAAAACTTGTATTTTTTTAGGTTGTAAATCCTCATGTGTTTGTCAAATATATTTATTAGATACAAGCAGAAAATTGAAAAACATGAAAACTAGGGATAAGATTTTTTTAAATGTATGTCATTATGAGTGAGATCCTGTGCCCTCACCCCTGCCCAGAATGAAAAATGCCTTATTTTATCCACCAGTTTTTTCTGAAGGAGAAGAAATTATTTTGCAAACTTCCTCTCCCTTTGTTGTCTGAAGTGCTATCATCTACACCAGCAATGGTGAACCTGTGGCAGAGCCCTTTCTGCAGGCACACAAGACATAAGTCGCCAGATCACTACTCCCCCCCTCCCCCGGCAGCCAAACCTGCGGAAGTGGCTGCAGCTGCGGTGCTGGTGCTTCGACAGGCGGCAGGCCAGGATCCAGAGCAACTGTGCTGGCAGTGGATCTGGAAAGGGGTCTTGAGGCACCTCCATGCCCAGGATTCCCCTTTCCGTCGCCACTTCCAGTTCTGCCACTGCAACTTCTGGTTCCACTGCCTGCTGGGTTTTTTTTCTTTTCTTTTCCCAGTTTAGGCACTTGGGCCCAAAAAGGACCGCCACCACTGATTTACTCTGTTCTGGCCCTTCTGTAAAGGTTTTCAGAGGGTAGAAGGACTTCAGGAGGGAAGAGAAAGCATCCCTACTCCCTTCCACCATTCTGGGTGGAAGTTGTTCAGGGTATGTTCTTGACAAAAATAGGTTTCAGAATGCACCGAGTTCATTTTTAAAAAGCCCTTTTCTATATTGGGTGTCATAGGAAACTAGACAATATGATAGTTAATTTGCCAGTATTAATATTCCTATAGTTTACTCTCAGTGGGGAAATCTTGCATCCATATTACACATTTTTTCTGTTTTTATATAAAAATATTGTGCATGACCAGTCAGCATATGAAATCTAGTTTGTAAGATAGTGGATTTTAAGATATTACAGAAGCATAATCTTTCCCATGTTAACTGTATTTTAAATTCAATTGTTTAACTTTTCTTTTCAATTACTTATTTTTTACAGTCAACTTGGTATCTGTTCCCCCAGCAGTTCCCAAGCCATCAATTCTTTCTCCCTCTTTAACTGCTGACCTCCAAGGTTTAAGTTTATCACATTCATCAGTCATTGATGTAAGTAGCTTTTCATGGATTGTTTATTTCCCCAGCTAATTTTCTGTTTTGAAAGCAAACTTCTGTTTTGATCAACAGTTAGCCTTTACTGCTTTGTCTTTCATTTATGTTTAAAGAGATGAAAGGAGTTTTGAATGGCCTGCAAGATATGTTGATTTTTCAAAGCTTCTGCTCATGTGATGATGTTTTTATAATAAACATAACTCTTTTGCTAATCACTATGTCAGCTATTAGCCTGAGAAATGAGTGTTCAGTGAGATCTTAATTGCATACAAATTCTGCACCATTGTATTAACATAGAAACTTTCTTTTTTCTAAAGATATTTTTGAAGTCTCATTTTCATTCATTCATTCATTCATTCATTCATTCATTCATTTGTTTAACTTATGTGCCGCCCACACTACCCGAAGTTCTCTGGGCGACTTACAGCATTTAAAATGCAATAAAAAGGCAAAATAAAAGGGCAAAATATTTAAAATGAAATTAAAATATATATTTTAAAAATTGCTATCAGACCCACAGCTGATATTATTTCAGTTAAAAGCCTTCTGGAACAGAAGGTTTTGACCTGGCGCCGAAATGTCATCAGCGTCGGCGCCAGACGAATCTCAGTCAGGAGGGCACTCCATAGTCTGGGGGCAGCTGCCGAAAAGGCCCTTTCTCTACAAGCCCTCCCTCTTATCTCCTTAAGGGATGGCTCTTTCAAAAGGGCCCCCTGGTTAGATCTTAACTGCCGGGTAGGTTCATATGGAAGGAGGCGGTCCTTCAGGTATCCAGGGCCCAAGCCGTTTACATGCTACAGTTAAGCCAGTCTTAATTTTTTTTCCTGATATTCTATGTTAATTCTTGAATAATTGCATAGCATACTTCTGAGGTGGCTGTGTTTGTATTTGTTTTTGAATTTGTATTTTGAACCATATATTTTGAGATACATGCACTTCAGACAGCTGAAACCCTGTTTGTAGCATGAGCAGAAGCATGTGTTTCTGTCCTTTCCTCTGTGATACAAACTGTCACTTGCACAGTTCTCAGGGTCACTTGCACACACTGACTTGGTGCATGTGCATGTGTGTCCCTGCATAGCAGCAGCACTTTGTTTACCAGGAAGGCGCAGACAGAAACATACTGTATGTTTCTGTATTAAACAGGATTTCAGCAATGATTTATTTCTAATTTTTCATCTCATCCTTCTAAACTGTTAGGGCACTTTACTAAACTAGAACTACAATTTTAAAAACTGTACATTTAAGAGGCTACAGCAGAATATATATAAAATGTTCAGTAAGGATAAATAGGGGGCTACAAACAACACATAGTTTAGCCTCCAAGTGCTGAGAATCAGGTGTACTTTCCAGTGCTTATAAAATAGCAGTGAAAATTGCAGATTCTGAAGAAAACCAGGGAAGAGGTCCTATCCTGGCAGCACTAGCTTTAAGACCTGTAAGCTTTAAGAAGCACCAGAAATCTCTGACCGTCTCTAAAATTTCTTAATAATTTCATTTTCTTTAGAAGCCTGTATCATCACCCACTTTTTTACATAGGTATTTTGTTTATATGGGTCTGTTGTTCAGTCAGGTGAGTGGACTATATACATGCAAATAAATACCCGCATAAATCAGATTGTTCCACTTAAATCAATGTTTTTTGACCTTTTAACATGTATTCCTCTTTTTAATAAACAGAATATTTTATGCCTCTTTCAAACATGCCTTCCCCATTTACTGTATTTGAAATTTGAAATCTTGCTATCATTGACAGAGGAGGGGAAGAGATGAGGTGGGAGCATTGACCTGTATACACTTGATCTAGCACTACCATTGAAAAAAAAGGTGCTGGTGCTGTGAAGTAATGCAGTTTGTTGTGGTGAGTTTTAAGGGAAGTGTGTAGTTGCAACACCCACACATAATAAACTGTACACACTTATGATTCACCGATGAAGGAAGGTAAAGTAGAGAGCAAGGGGTATGCAGCAAGCTGTGTACTAAGAAAATAATGTATTTAGTGTTTTTTCTGTCTGTCAAATTTAAAAAATTGAATATTGAATACTGTATATATATATATATTTGAAATTACAGACACCTTCCATGAAGTCTTGATACAATCTGTGACTGATCGTATCACAGATTTGAGAATCACTGATTTAAATGAATAGGAAGACTGTTCTAGGTATAAGTCTCAGCAATTGTTAATTCCCATTTGCTAGATTGCACAGAGAGAGAGAGAGAGACAAAAACTACTAAAAAACTAGGTTCCAAGCTATATATACACCCTGTTTCCCCCAAAATAAGACAGGGTCTTATATTAATTTTTGCTCCAAAAACGCATTGGGGCTTATTTTCAGGGAATGTTTTATTTTTTTCATGTACAACAATCTACATTTATTCAAATACAGTCATGTCATCTTCTTCTGGTTGCTGCACCATGGTGGAGGGTGGGGTTTCACTTAACTGGTGCTTATTTTTGGGGTAGGGCTTATATTACGAGCATCCTGAAAAATCCTATTAGGGCTTATTTTCAGGTTAGGTCTTATTTTAGGGGAAACGGTATATAGCTATAATTGTAGACCAAAAAGGGACATTTAATTAAGAAGTGAAAGTGACTTGGCACCCGATTTTCTGAATATTTAAATAGGCAATACTGATAGCTATATTCATACATGACTGTTGTCAACTGTCTGACAGTTGACCAGAGTTTCTGATTAGTCTTTAATAGTATAGCAGCTACAAACAATTAACTTGATAAATTTTATATGTTTCATTACATTGTATGTGTTAGTTGTCTTGAACTTTTAAGGAAAGAGACAGACAGATGTAGTAAATAAATCATGAAGCAGTGTTTTACTCTGTTTCAGTAGTTACAGATACAGATATGATTGCTGTTGTGATCTTTTGTTTCTAAAATGTAGCTGCTGACTTTTTCCAAGAATCAATAGTATATCTAGAACTGAGGATGTTTTTATTTCTAAGCAAAAGACAGTGTTCAGTGTACCTAGATAAACTAATAGAAATATATAGGCTTTCTGTTTAGGGATGAAATTGAATTAATTACTGGGGTTTCCCACAGATCATGGATAAAAGTTGCTTGTTCTTCTTTATGGTCTATGTGATTCATGCATATGGGTTCTTCTGTGTCTACACACACTCTTTGGAGATATTCCAGAGCTTTAATGCTCGTGCTCATCTACCAAATAGCTGTCCTCAGTTCCCTCTTTGCTGCTGAGGCAACACCTTGGGCAGCAGAGACCCAGTCTAGTTATAGGTATGCTGTTCAGGTAATCTCAACCATCCATTGCAATAACTATAGGTACTAGTCCAGCAAGTTAGGGTGTGCTTTGTTAGGAGATCCATGTGATGTGATCCATGGAGAAAAAGATTGAACATATACTGTAAATCTGCTTGAGATATAGGCAGTCATCAAAGCATTGAAAGTCTTCAAGTAGTGGTAGGGAAAGAGGTACAAGTTATAACGGACATCACCACAATGTACTACAATACATGCACAAATAAGATGACACTCGTGCAGTGATTTTGCTATATCTGACAGCATATCTTTGGGAATGGTGTATCAAATGGCATACAGTGGTGCCTCAACTTACGAACGTCCGTACTTACAACCATTTCAAGTTATGACCAGGTCCGAGTGCAAAATTTTGCTTCTAATTGCAACCGGAGCTTCCACTTACGAACAGAAAAGGGCAGGAAATTCAAATTTCTAACTGTAGGTGGTGACGAGGCTGCTTCTTTGTAGCTCTTTCGCCCCAGCAGTTAGAGAGTGTGTGTCAGAGGAGGCTTGGGACTGCCTCCTTCTGCTTCTGGGTGAGTGAGTGTGTGTGTTTGCAGGGAGGCTTAGGGCTGCCTGGTAACGTAAGGTGCTGTTTTCTGCTTTTAAAAAAATGTTCTGAATGTTTTTGCAGTGTGGTTTTGAGCTGGGCGGGGGATATGTTTCTGTGCTGTGATGGGTCTTGGGGGTTGTTTTTTGGTTCCCCCCATTTCTGATGGGTCTTGGGGTGGTGGTTGCTTTTTGGGGTTCCCCCATTTCCAATGGGTCTTGGGGGTTGGTTTGTTTTTCGTCTTCCCCCCATTTCCAGTGGCTCTTGGGGGGCTTAGTTGCTTTTTGGGGTTTTCCCCCCATTTCCGATGGGTCCTGCATATTTCCCTTGCTTTTTCCTTTGTTTTCTTTGCATTCCCTACCTGCCCCCTTTGTTCTCTGAGCATTTCTGATCTGCTCCGTTTGTTTTCTGTGCTTTTCCAATGGATCTTGCACGCTTGATTGCTTTTCTTTTCTTTTCCCCCCCTTTGGCCGGAAGGGATTAATCACGTTTCCAATGAGTCTTGCAGTGATTTTTTGTGTGTGATTTTTTTCTTTGGCTGGAACGGATTAATTGCATTTCAGTGCATTCCTATGGGAAATGGTGCTTCGACTTATGGCCATTTTGTGTTACGTCCATCTTCTGGAACAGATTCTGGTCATAAGTTGAGGCATCACTGTACATACCAGGTGTCCATTTTTTTTTATGGGGAAGACAATCAGACTGCAGATTCTCTAAGTTGAGATCATATAAAAACTTACAAATGGGAGCTCTCAAACATGTTCTTCAACAACATAGTACAGAGATGGGGAAATCCACACATAGGTCTATTTGCAAGACAGCAAAACAGCAAATGCAGGAACTACTGCTTCTAGGCAGTTCTTGGAAAGAATTCCAGAGGAAATTCATTTGCTTAGGTTTGGTCAGGTGCTCTGATATATTTTCTCCTCCTCCGTTTCCACTGATACATCATACAGTTGTAAAGATAAAACGGGAAGGGTTGAATGCTACATTTGTAACTCTTTGGTGGCTGCATCAAGCATGGCTCATAACCCTATTGCTGATGGCAGTGGACAGCTTCAGACTGCCTTTAATGCCAGATCTGATCACGTCTTACCTATGGAAAATGTATACCTAAATGTAGAAAAGCTCAAGTTAAAAGCATAGAGAATTCTCCCAAAGTAGCAAGGT